TACAGGAGATAAAGATTTAAATTCCACATCTACAAAAATTATTCCCGACTAAGAATTAGACCGCGTTAGCGTGTTGCAACAAAAAAAACTACAATTCCTAGCGCAACGAGTACAAAGTGCTCGTACACACACAACTATCAATATAACTCGCGTCAAAAAATTTTTCAGCAATAAATTTCCAATACAGGGAGATACAGATTTGTTAAATTCCACATCTAATAAAATTATTCCCGACTAAGAATTGTGACTATGTTAGCGTGTTAAAATAAAAACTACAATCTTGAAGTAACGAGTACAAGTGCCTGTACAATAATAACTATCAATATAACTCAGCCAAAAATTTTTTCAGCAATAAATTTCAATACAGGGAGATACAGATTTAAATTCCACATCTAATAAAATTATTCCCGACTAAGAATTAGACCGCAGCAAGTTAGCGTAAGTTGTAACAAAAACTACACCCAGCGCAACGAGTACAAGTGCCTATACACACAACTATCAATATAACTCGCGCAAAAATTTTCTTAGCAATAAATTTCAATACAGGGAGATACAGATTTAAATTCGGCATCTACAAAATTATTATTCCGACCATGAATTAGACCGCGTTAGCGGTTATTGTAACAAAAAACTGGCAATTCCTAGCGCAACGAGTACAAGTGCCTATACACACAACTATCAATATAACTCGCGTAAAAATTTTCTAGCACAAATTCCCCAATACAGGGATAAGGTTAGATTTAAATCTGGCATCTAATAAAATTATTCCCGACCATGAATTACCGCGCTAGCGTGTTGCAACAAAAAAACTACACCCTAGCGCAAATTAAGTACAAGTGTTCGTACACACAACCATCAATATAACTCGCGTCAAAAAATTTTCAGCAAATACCAATACAGGAGATACAGACTTAAATTCCACATCTAATAAAATTATTCCGACTACAATTAGACCGCGTTAGCGTACAACAAAAAACTACAATTCCTAAGCGCAACGAGTACAAGTGCCTATACACAATTATCAATATAACTCGCGTAAAAAATTTTCTAGCAATAAATTCCAATACAGGAGATACAGATTGCAAATTGGCATCTAATAAAACATTCCTGACCATGAATTAGACCGCGTTAGCGTAAGCTAAAATAAAACTACAAATTCCTAGCGCAACGAGTACAAGTGCCTATACACACAACTATCAATATAACTCGCGTAAAAAATTTTCTAGCAATAAATTTCACAGGAGATACAGATTTAAATTCGGCATCTAATAAAATTATTCCCGACCATGAATTAGGACCGCGTTAGCGTGTTGTAACAAAAAACTACACCCTACGCAACGAGGCCGCGCTCATACACACAACTATCAATATAACTCGCGTGAAAATTTTTCAGCAATAAATTTGATACTCGGGAGATACAGACCAAATTTCGCATCTAGCCAAAATTATTCCCGATCTAAGAATTCAGACCGCGCAAGTGTTGTAACAAAAACTACAATTCCTAGCAACGAGTACAAAGCGCCTATACACACAATTATCAATATAACCCGCGTAAAAAATTTTCTAGCAAATAAACTTCAATACAGGAGATTATTACAGATTTAAATTCGGCATCCAAAATTATTCCGACCATGAATTAGACCGCGCGTTAGCGTGTTGTAACAAAAAAACTACAATTCCTAGCGCAACGAGTACAAGTGCCTTTACACACAACTATCAATATAACTCGCGTAAAAAAATTTTTCAGCAATAAATTTAGATACTGGGAGATACAGAATTAAATTGCGCATCTAATAAAAATTATTCCCGACTAAGAATTCAGGACCGTTAGCGTGTTGTAACAAAAGAACTACAATTCCTAGCGCAACGAGTACAAGTACCTGTACACACAACTATCAATATAACTCAAGGCCAAAAAATTTTTCAACAAATTTTCAATACAGGGAGATACAGATTTAAATCTACATCTAATAAAATTATTCCCTGACTCAAGAATTAGACCGCGTTATGTGTTGTAACAAAAAAACTACAATTCCTAAAGCAATGAGTACAAGTGCCTATACAATAACCAATAATATAACCGGGCAGTGAAAAATTTTTCAGCAATAAATTTAGATACCGGGAGATACAGAATTAAATTTCGCATCCACAAAATTATTCCCGACTAAGAATTAGACCGCGTTAGCGTAGTTGTAAATAAAAAAACTACAATTCCTAGCGCAACGAGTACAGTGCCTGTACACACAACTATCATAACTCAAGGCCAAAAATTTTTCAGCAATAAATTTCAATACAGGGAGATACAGATTTAAATTCCGCATCTAATAAAATTATTCCCGACTAAGAATTAGACCGCGTTAGCGTGTTGTAACAAAAAAACTACAATTCCTAGCGCAACGAGTACAAGTGCCTGTACACACACAACTATCAATATAACCGCGTAAAAAAATTTTCAGCAATAAATTTCGATACAGGGAGATACAGATTTAAATTCCGCATCTAATAAAATTATTCCCGACTAAGAATTAGACCGCGTTAGCGTGTTGTAACAAAAAAACTACAATTCCTAGCGCAACGAGTACAAGTGCGTACAATAATAATAACCATCATAACTCGCGTTACGGAATTTCTAGCACGATACTGGTAGATACAGAATTAAATTTCGCATCTAATCAAATACCCCGCGACTAAGAATTCAGGACCGCGTCTGCGTGGTATACAAATCAAAAACTACAACCCTAGGCAACGAGTGCACACAAAATAAAATATAATAAAAACCATATCCAACCCGTTTAGAGAACAATCAAACATCCTCGTACAGTCTAACAAATCAATTATGAATATTACATAATAACGCAAAAATAATTAAGAAATGTAAACTAATTGATCGCGAAGGAGACGCGCGCGTGCAGATCACCGGACGATCAAAATTAAACCAACAATACCGCTCGGTAAGCCGACCGCGTGCAAAGCCGACAGTGTGGTGACGGCACAAAGTTGATAAAAGATAACAAAAACTTGTTTATTTATAAACACAGATAGTAACAGTGTAAGATGCTAGAACAATTCTACATAGAAAGCATTGAATATTTACGTTTATTATAAGGAACACTGCATTATAAAGAAGACTGCAATGCATCACGGCCGTGAAATACGTCCGCTTCACTAAAAAATAGTTATATTCTACGCAATAGAGATTAAACATGTAACTAACAAACACAATAAAATAAATGCCTAATATTATTATTCCAGTACAAAATACGGGCAACGTGCATAAGAGTGTAATTTTTATACACAAACACAAGATTATTAATTACATACCTACAATTTAATTATCAAATTTAAAGAATGCAGGAAACCTTATACAAACAAAGCAACAATATTACAATAAAAAACTACCAATCTGTAAAATTAGTAACAACAACCAAAATATTAAAGAATTCATATAAAAGAAAATTTAGCAAAACCCGATTCCCGAGATAATGACCAATTTCCACAGCATGTTTAATTGTAACACTACGCCTTGTAAAATAGAAGTAAATTATAATATAAGTAACTATGTAAGCTTCATAAAAAAATTAAAAGTAAAATTTTATGTATTACATTTTTATATACAACTTTTAAAGTTCATCTCACACCACCATTTTTGTAAAGGATACTTCACACTTATATGTGTGTACAACAGTAAAATATTACTTATTTCTATTTCAGTGCTACCGTGATATATTTATAACACTATAAAACGTAAAATTTAAATAAATAATTGAATAAGTTATCACATTAACTTAGTAAAAATAAAAGTAAATGTTTATATATTTATGTTTTATATACTATAGTCACGAACTACAGTTTACGTCAACTTGCTACTGCGTCGACCTACCAAGGCTTAGTTAACACACAATCATGCTTTGTAAAGCGTACTTTACACTTTATAAAACACGTTTAAATGTCAGTAAACTTATATTTGTTTCAATTTCAGTGCTATAGTGTTATAATTGCAAACACATCACCTTGTAAAATAGAAATAAATAATTATATAAGTGATTTTGTTAATATTATTTTATATAACAGCTCTTTCTTTATAACGTGACAAAGAAGAAACTTAAAATTCCCCAATTATTTTCGAGATATAACCCAATTTCCATTACAAAACATTGAAAATGCGCCACATACTCGTATTTTGCGAAAGATTGGAGTAAATTGATAATCGAAATACACATTCTAAACCGCGAGAACCACCCGCGGACCAAACCCGACAAAACTTTTCACATGATTGAAACTGCACGGCAAACACGCTAAACTGATCCCGCAACGACAGTGTGCTGAGACGCGCGCGCGTTTCAAGGCAAACAACAACTGATAACCGCGATAACCGATACGTTTGCCGAATGAAGAACGCGTCGCTGCAGCTAACAATAAAAGCATAACGACGAAATTAAAGAATCTAAGAAAGCATCTAATTCCCTGTTTATGTTTCTAAGACCTCAAGTCACCGAAATAAAGACAAACATTTTATGACTAGAACCTTGTACACACCTAAAGTTTACACAATTTACTAGCTTTGATAAGCGCGTTGCGAAAGAAACAATACAATACAATGTAACACAATAAGAAAATTCTAAAGCTAATAGATAATAAGTAATAGTAATACTAATAATTTATTTATAAACATACCAGTAAAACGTCCATAGCGAAATAAATCCAGAAAAGTAAATAACACACGAGCCGCACACACGACTCACGCGACGAAAGGCACGCACAAAACTACCATCAACCTGTTTGCTAGCGTTGCATCTCACACTCGCTTGAGATAAAGAACAGGTACTCAAGCAAGCACTGATAACCGCCTAGAGAAATGCATACAATACAAAATAAACTATTGTATCCATTGAATACAAAAACAAAACACAATACTATACATAAATGGCGATGCATTTAAAATTAACAACAAAACTCAATTTCAAAAACATACAAACAAAAATATCGCATCACACAGAACATGAGTTATTATTTCTTTTATTATTACTCCGAATGAAATGGTAAATAGCAATGATATGTGTAATCTCACATTACTATATAACAATTGGTAGAACGTTACCTAAATTTTAAAAAATACTTAAATTACAGAATAGAGATAATCAAATATATAAAAAAAAAACCTCGTGAACATAACAAGACCACTAATAGAGACAGAGACACATTATACATATTTACAAACAATTGTGTTAAAAAATTCATATGTAGTCATAGAGATAATCTGATAATTAGTAATTCTCATCTAAATTTCGCAACGCATCGTAAACTATATTCAGTCAACTTAAAATATTCCATCCTAACGTTTTCCTACAAATTTCAAACAACATTCTCTTAACTGCAATTATAAAATAGAACATCTTAGCATCACATACTCGTTACCAAAAAATGCAGTTATTTAACCATTCCCAAATTCAATCTTTCAAAGCGTGCGAGTTTTGTGTACCAATTTAATTTCATTTTGAACTCGTTTCCTGATCACGCGCAATACCTACCGTAAAATAAATTATATATCATTTATATAAAAATGCAAATTGCGTGTTGTGGTGTATGTGGAGTTAAGACTGATTTGCGTGAGGACATCCAAACCGGCGCAAAGAAACGAATAATATTACTAATGTGATAACACGTGTCTGGAATGCCCCCGAAAGCACCAATTTGGTAATTTAATATATTAATAAATCCTACATACGAATATTAAAGATTAGCCGTCTCAAGCTCCGCCTTCGCTTTGTGGGCGGTAGGCGGCGGAGGTGGCGGCTGCGACGGTTTGTTCAAGTTGCGCGGCGACGGCGGCGTCTGCAGTGCGTGCGCCGTTGGCACATCGACAATATTACCATCGGAGCGCGTGCGCACATGACTAGGTTTGTTCGGATTGCCGTTGACCCTCTCTAGAACCTGCGAGGGCTCTGAATTCTCCGCCAGTTTTTCATTGGATTTCATCAGCGGCGGTTTTGATGGCGGGGTGGGTCTTGCCACACTATTAGAATTAATATCGCCTTTGTTTTCTAGTTGTTTCGCAGGTATAGGATTGCTAACGCCTAAGAATTTCTCTTTTTCAGCGATTTGCATATCATGTCCTACAGGATGCATCTGAGAGAGTTTTTGTTGTAGTTGAATATTGACCACATTCGGTAATTTATGCGCAGAACTAAATGCTTTGATATTGAACGCTTCTGATTCGTGGTTGCGTGAAGGCGGGCCGCGTAAAGAGGCGGGGCGTGTAGGTATCGCGGGTTTGGCACGCCTACCAGGCTCTAATTCCTCAGTGGATTTATTTCTAAGCATGATATCTGTATCTAAATCAATCGAATTTAAACTTTTCGACATGGAATCATTCCGCTGCAATTGTTTCTCTTTTTCGTGATTCGCGTCGGTCTGAATTAAAGTGCGCGGCGCGGCAACCGGTTTAACTACATGCAATTGTACATCTGATTGATGTTCAACCTCATGCGCATGCGCAACCTTACCATGATTAGTATCCCTATCTAAACTGACTAGTACAGGCTGCTGTTCTTGATCAAGAACCAAACTCGACCGGCGCGAATTACCACTACTTCCGTTCGCACTCTCCTTCTGCAAGAGTTTACTAGTTTCGGTGCGTATTTTGTGCGGGCGATTTAAAGACGCTGTGCCTACTGCCGAATGATAATAATTCTCCGACATTGACCTAACCTCACCGTCAACCTCATTGCGCAAACTCGCCGGCGGTGGTGGCGCTGGCGCATGTCTCGTCTTCTTCCTGCTTGAAGGTTTTGGACTAGCTGCTTCGCTGTCACCCTCCAACAGCGTACTCTGCCGGAGGCAACTCACATCCGGGCGCGTGAAATCATCCGGATCAATCAAATCCGAGCTTTTAATCTCGGTGTATTTCATCATATCCACCGGAAAAAACTCATCCAAATGTGTTAAAAACAGCTCGACGAGCATATTTAACATGGAACACAAATGCATATTAATATCTTGCTTTTCTTGTGACCACAATAAATTCGGGCCCATCACAATGGCGATATTCGTCGGTGTCATGCGATTCTCTGGTTGTTTGGACAGTTTCGATAAGAACTGCATTAAGAACGCTAGATTATCACGATTCGACTGCGGCATTCGCGCCAGGACAGTCTTAACGGCAGCAATGCGATGGTGTTCATCACTTTGGGATTCCACGCAGTGAATCCACTCGTTGTACAGTTTGTAGGTGAGCAGCGGTTCGGGCAGTTCGCGGAGGTACATCTTCAGTGTGCTGGCAAGCACATGGACATCTTTGTATTCAGGTATTAGCGGAAGGGTGAAGCAGCCTGAATCAATGGAATATTTTAGGCGTTTCACTCGGGAACCGCTGCCTGTCAATCGGAAAAGTCCTTCTTCGGACATTCCTAATTCCATTAATGCCAAGGCGCACATTTCCAACGGGAAGGCAATGCGTCTATTGTTGGTTTTCAGGTGGTTTTCTAAGCAGCAACCAAAAATTGGTTTTATTTTATTTTCACCTGGAATTATTAATTAACCCTGAGTATTTATTTGATTAACATGATATAATATATCAAATGCGCTAAACGGCACTTTAACCACGTTGTACTTTAGTCACGGCCTTGGCCGTCCGTGTCTAAAGTGCTGCTTTAAAGATAAAAGTAGAAAAAATGTATTACACTACATACCAACAGTTTGTTCAAGCCTAGGAATAATCTCCTGAAGCTGCTTACAGGCACTTTCATGATAACTTCGTTGCATTTTCAACAACTGCAGGAAAAACGTACAAATTTCATTCTCCCTCCGCAGAAGTGAAAACATCTCAGTTGCTAACACATCACGACTCTGATCCAATTTCATATCGTCTTCATCTGCTTCCCTTTAGGTTGCTCTCCTTGAGCGTGCCTACTTTTTTAGCACTCTAAAAATACCACAATCCCTAATAAACTAAAAATTTCATCGGTTGAATAAATAATTTACCTGATATCGACTCGTCGCTGAATCCTTATCCAAGATATGTACTTTCAACTGCTTGCGCTGTTTGCTGATGGCGGGCAACTCCTTCTCGAGGATCTGATTGATCGGAAAGCTCACGCTCTCCAGTTGCTTCACTCGAACTTGCTTCATTCGCCAATTGTCCCTTCTATCACCGAGAGGACTCACGCAGAACTTGATACAAGAGAGCATCTTTAATGCCATCGTTTTCTTGCATTGAAGCATCGATTGCTTGTTTTATATTGTACTCATCATACTTTTTCTACAAAAATAAATTATTTAGTTATAATTTTATTATATTAAAGATTATAATAAATTTATACCATTCTTTTTTCCTGTTCATTAACCGCACTAGGCAGCTTTTTCCCCACCTCCCCAAGCGCCCTCTGGATGAAATCAACTTTAATGGCTGCTTTGCGCAACTCATCTTGATTAAGTCCTTCACTCTTGTCGGCTCTGCAACAAAAACATAACGTGTTAATGTAACACACACTGTATATGTCTCAACTTTAGATCTGCATGTGATCATTATTCTATTAAAATTGATAAAGAATAAATTGCTGAAAGGATGGCCTTAATGGCCCATTATGCGATATTTTGGGTCAAACTGATTGTAGACTCCTAAAACCACAGCCTTCATCACTGTACAAATATAATATTACTCAAAACTTATTTTCTCAGGAAATGATTGCATCCAAAACAAATACTCGAAGTAATCACGATAAGCAATCGTCGTGACAAATAATTCGAGCAAATACATCACAACTGATAACTGCAAATTAACACAAACAGTTATTAATGCCCAAAAGTTACTGAACTGAATAAAACTATGAAAAACCCAGCGAGTATTGCACAAACAAATTGTGAGCATCAATTTAATGAATGCTTGGCTCAAGGTTAGCACGAAATTTCTAAGTTTTTCGGCCCAGTGTGCAGACCAAAACCGCTAAATCACCTGAATATGCACACAGAAAACTAATTACATCATGCATATCACAAAGTACAGTTAACTGATTTCATGTGTAAAACGTGTAAAATCAAGCCTATTTTTAGAGTGAGTGTTTTCCTCACAACCAGGTGGAACAAATCATCAGCTTCTAATCACTTCAATTGGCTAATAAATAACCCTGCTGATAAGATAGTGTATTTCAAAATGCCAACATGTCTGAATCAAAGTGCAGATTTGCAATCATTTACTGTATATAAAGTTGCAGTAATTCTTGTTCGGACCGTTGTTCTACACTTATGGCAATGCTCACCGTAAAAAGGTCTGATCAGCCAACTGTTTCACCCGCAGGAATTGCTTCTTCATGTTTGCAGCTGGCAGACAATGGCTAGGAAGTCGGCGCTCGCGCTACACGCATTTATGTCATCATGCAGATGATGCAGATGCGAAATTCACATGCCGCGATTTTCCGATCGTCGCGGTGGCTTCGATGAGATCATTGCAGCACTTTCTTTTTCACGGCGGCGCGCGCGCGTGTTTGTGTATCGATGAGCCTTCGTGTGCGCGCCCACCGTCCGCAGTTCGCCAATTATTGTTTCTTTTGTTGCGGCCGTGTTTTTTTCAGTCGTCGCGCGACGGTCGTGTTGCGATGGTCCGGAAACTGCACTCTGCACACTACGCACACACAACGGTGGAAATGTATCCTGAATAGGTGAATCACGCGTACGAAAATAAACTATTCAAACATCAACAACGAACAAGGAGGGTGCGTGGGGTTTTTCGGCTGGGCGAACGCCGCGAACGCTCGTCTTTCTCTGACTTTTCGCCTTGCAGTGCTCGCGAATCGCGGGTGGGAACGAAATGATGGGAGATGGGCTGTGTTCGACATGCACGGTGTGTTGCCTATATAACACAGCTGACACCTTTATACAAAAGCGCGATCTGTCAATATAAAAACTAAACTATCACGTATTGAAAGTAGCATACCATACAAAAAAACTTAAAATATTTAAAACTAACTCATTCAACAAAACAAAACAAAACATGTTAACGCACGTGTTAGTTAAATACAAGGTAATTACTACTTAGAATATTACAATTGTTTAAATTGTACGCATCATTAATTAAATTAGATGCATTCAGAATTTTCCACGGTCAAAAACAATGTTTAATAACGCAATAAATGTAAGAAAACTATGTCACTAGACAAAACCAAAATTACCTCAATACCTAAACCGTAATAAACAAAATCCATGCGCAATTAACTAAAATAAAATCCTTGTGATTAATGTTTTACAGGAGAACCCTCTGAATAAATATTGCAATTGTTATTAAATGCCTTGATATTGGCATTGCATGTTATTTCCTTCCTTTTTAATCTCTACCAACTTGAAACCAATGCTTAAAATGGCGTCGAATCCTTGCGACTGCGCGCACTTGGCATGAATTTAAAGTTGTCATTTTGTCAAATGTTTGACCTTACAATATTCAACAATTTTTGATGTTTTATTCATTTTTGCTAAATGTTTGGCATGCGTGGAATGTTAAACAGTTATATTTTAATCATAAAGATAAATTTTGATAATTTTAGACACAATTTCAGCAGAAAATGATTTAAGTAGATTAATTAAAGCTTTAGATTATAATAAAATTAATCTAATATAATAAATATTCGATTATACCAAAATAATAATAATTTTCCCGCTAGATGTGGCCACATGAAATTTAAGCACTCTACTAAGCGCAGCTACTGAGTATGAGTACGGAGCACATGCGTTTATTTATCAACATCGACATGTTGCTACTTACGGCCGATCAACACACGTATAAATATGCGCCGGCGCGCAACTTCCACGCCAGTCGAAAAGTCGTCATCGCGTTGCGCGCACCTCCGCCACGAATACACCACTTGCGCGTGCGTTTCACATAAATTTTTTTTTTTTACAATTCTGGTACCAAATTACTGCCGGCTGTCTGTCTCCTGTACCGATTACGGAATTCACGCGAATTAACTTTTACTTCTTTGGCGCGCCGCAACTCGCCGGACGAGTGCCGGACAACAAGTGCGCTGCTGTGCCAATTTCGACACCTGACTCGCAATAATTAATAAATAAACTTAATCAAAAGCCAGCGATATGGCGATGACGCGAAGTTTCCTCAACGTGATCCTGCTGGGATTCGCGTTCATGTCGGTGTTCACCGCGTTTCAAACCATGGGTAATGTTCAGGTAAGTTTAATGTAAAAATATAATTATTCCTTTATCACGTTGTGAAACATAATGCGGGAAAATGGCATATTACTACATAGTGTGATGCAATACGAAGGGGGCTCGCATTAGTCGCATGATTAGATGCTCAGATGGCATCTTAATTAGTTTTTTTCATCGAAAAACGAGAGTTTTACGATTAAATGCGTCATTAAAGTACAGACATTAACAGCTGAAATTATTTACACATATACTATGTAATTATATGTGAAAATTGTGTGATAAGACGTTAAAACAAACAAAATTTAGTTAAACTTAACATTAACTTGACATTTAAATTTCACTCAGAGATAACAATTTTTTTGTCATTTTTTATGTAATGCTGTAACTTTATTTGAGTTTAATTCTTTTGATTTTGTTTTCAAGTGCACAGTGCACTGAACCCTGAACCCGAATGTTTTTTTATTTTTATGCGCGGTGTGCACTGGTTCCACCCAAATTTGGACAACAATTCCAACGGTACTTTAATTTTCTTTTGGCAACCTTCCACGAATATTGATTGCAGGTACTAAATTTTAAAAATAAAATAAAAATGTTAATAACTTTTGTTACAAAAGTTCTAGACACAACATTTTTCGCTAGTTTAATGCGCAATTAAATTCTAAGTAACCTACAAAAAGAATTTTTTAAATAACTCAAATATTTTATGAATAATCAACGAAAAACCTATTATTAAAAGTATATTAATTACATACATGGTATTATTATTGCAAATTGCGTCTGAATCCAGCATGATATACATATTCCCACACAAAATAGGAAATTTTCCACTCGATATTTCACTCTTACTTGTATTTGCTGTGCTTAATGCACGCGCGCACGCGCACGTAACATTCATAACATACTTTGCGCGCGCACGCTCCACACATTTCTATTCATTTCCATTTCAAACATCAAACACATCGTGGGATTTTACTCACTTTCATTACACTGCTAAACATTTCATTTCATTTCGTTTCGTTTCAATTTAATTCTGTGAAACTTTATTTTTCATTCTTTTTTTAATCTTTATGACGCAGTTAAACGAAAAAAAGTTGCTCCTTCAACTTCAGGTTCATTTCCTTATATCTGGCTTGAAATTTTTATCGACATTCAACTTGACACAGACATTAAGGTATATTAGCAACAATTTTCGACTTGTATTCGTCTACAATCTAAAAATTAAGTCTTCGACGAGAGAAAAGTGGATGACCTTCATTTTTTTTATTCAATATTATTAAAAAATCATTTGGATACACGTCTAATTGTCATTTAGATTAAATTATTTATTGTTTTATCGGTTAAGGATATTCTGACCGATTAATCGCGTTAATTCGACCACGATAACGATTTTTTCGCTTCGATTGTTCGATTGTGTTTAATTGTACGAGCAAACCGCTTTTCTCGTTTTGAAAGTAGCGCAAAGAAATTCATCGCATGCGCACAAAAAACTCGCGCGAAATTTCTAAAAACCGCGCAGATATTAATTAAGTTAAATAATATACTGGAAAATTTTCATTGTTATTGAATTTAGTGCACGGTCACTTTATAAGTGTTAATTTAATATTTTTATGCACTTTGTGTGCATTGATGACTAAATCAACGCTTATCCGTGTTAGTGTTAGTGTGGTGTTGTTGTTGTTGCATGAATTGTTTTGTTTTGATTGTCGCATTACGCGTGGCGTTCTTTCACGCCCGCGAGCCATCAGCGGCAACCAGCAGGAGTCCTGCAGAGCCTGCATGCTGTCGAGGAACGATTGCGACGTCGGCGTAAAAGGCTGACTACGTATGAGACATTCCATGAGTGAAAACCAAGTGCCGCCAAGGCACACGTTCACTTCTTGCGTTTCACTCTTTCACTTACAAAACAACTCGATGTCAATAATAATAATTCATATAAAAATATCGAATTTTATATTATGGGTTATAAATGTATTCTTCATGTGCAGTGTAGTAGGTTTTTGTTTAAATTTATGCGATTGCATCAAGGAATGTCAAATATTAGCATTCTGGACATTTCGTTTATGTGTCAATGGCAAGTGTGCAAAAATTTCGGCGGTGATGACCAAATACAGCGCTAGAACTAATAAAAATATTAGAATAGGTGAAACAACTTTTCATTCTTGCCTAAGACGCAGAATATTTCGCATAATGCTGGCATTGATAATATTTAATAATATTTTAAATTGTTTAAATTATTTTGAGTTTCTTGAAGGCCTTGAGATGTGAATTTTGAATTTTGAATATAATACCGGTATTTTTTTAAATCAAAATATCGGTATACCGGTAATACCGGTATTTATAAAATAATTTAATTAATTAATTTGACATATTTTTAATTTTGTAAGTATGCTAAATAAAAACATGCAAAGATAATTGATTAATTGCAGATTATTTCTTAAATTGGTAAATGAGTCAATCTTACAATGTTAATTGCCAGTGTCGAAGTATTTATTTGATATTTTCGGATTTGATGAATGTTTAGCATAATAGAAAAAACTACCCAATTTGAACCTTTTTGTTGCTCTTTAAAGTTTAAAGTGAGTGCTGTGTCGCAGATTTGGGAAGTTTTCACAATTACGAAATTTGTTTTTAACTCATCTGTTTATTGATATTGCAATTGAGATATCGGTATACCGGTATATATCACAAACAATATCATAATGAAAAATATCGGTATTTGAAAGAAAAAATATCGGTATATCGGTATTTTGATGTTAAACTTTATTTTTTTCATTAAAATTCACTTCCCTTGATGTATTTTCATATTTTATTATTATTTGAACATAAAAATACCGGTAAACCAATATTAATACCGGTATTTCACTTTTCACTAATTTTAATTATTTGTGTGGCGTGACAATAACCTGTTTATCTACTGCTTAATTCGCACACATTTGATTATTTATTTATTTAACACCGCCCAACTACGCAAAACAAAACATTATCAATTGTTACTGAGATAATACGGATATTAATTGCAAATAAACCATACATAATGACGCGCTCACTGCTTCAGCAAATAACATTAAAAAATATCCAAATACCAACCACATAATAACTTGTTTTCTGCGATGAATAACACAACCATTTTTGTTTGCCAAACAACTTCTAATCCGACAATAATCGTAACATCTGTAATCGATGATTATAAGTTATTTGCAGTTATCAGTGATTCGACGATAACAATAATAATTAATAATTTCTCGCGAAATGCGGTTTAAAAGATACTCGTAATAAAATGACGCTGACATTAAAAAACAAACCAAGAACAAGTTCGTCGAAGTTTCTAAATAAAATGTATGTTATAATCTAATGTAATACAAGTTGATATTGCGTCGTACTCGTATGTAAATCGTACGTTTTATGATCGTAGCGAATTATTGGCGAATTATGAGCGATATCTGCGCATATTCGCGCGCCAATTAAATTCGTTCGGCGGTGTATGGCGATATACAAAAGTTACAAAGCGTTGTGTAATGAAATGTCTGCACGGTCCGCACGACCGACAAACGCGCGGACGTCGAGGTGTATCGACAATCAAGTGAAAGTGCATTTGACCAAAATAGATATAAAATGCGCATGGTACACGTACGAGTAGGTACGAGCACTTGAAACTCAACACACACATGCAACACATGTAATAATTAACTATTAACTTGTTTTGATTTGTTTATCACTTCAAAGTTGTCGATTAAGAGCGCAATTTTATAAACTGAGAGTAGTTGGAGATTAATCGACAAAAACAATTAATATTCGACTAATTTTTTTAAAGTTTTGCACAATATATAGTAGAATAGTTAGCAAAATATGACCACAAAAATCAAAATTGAATCACCATCCTGTTTGTATGTTTGTTTGACTATAACACAAAAACTACTCAATCAATTTTAATACATTTTGGTTTGGAGATATTTTAGACCTAGGAGAATACCATAGACTATTTTTTGTCGCAAACATATAACTTACAGGGTGTGAAAAATAGTTTGCAAGTTTGTGCAACGAAAAAGATAAGTGATACTGACGCATTCAAAAAATGTTATGAAAAAGCTAATGACTCAAGAAGTATTGATGAAAATTAAATTACATTTAGTGGAGCTAATTACAAATTAATAAGGAATATTTGTACAAAATTTGATGTAAATTGCTTAATTGGCAATCGATTTACAATCAATTTTGGTAGAAAATTACACCTGGAGCGATTTTTTTTTGCATTTGCATAAAATATTAAGAAAATATGCCATTCAAACACCGCTAAATGCAATAACCTAAAATATTTTGCTATTTGCTAATCTCTAAAACTAAAAAATCCCTAATCATTATTTTTCTTTTCATTTTTCTAAAAAAAAATAGAAAACAATGTTGGACAGTATAAAAAAAGAAGACTCCAACTTCAAAGGCGATGGCTACACATCCCTAGCAATCATCTACGCGGTCTTCGCCATCTTCAACTGGGCAGCCCCGTCCGCCATCAGCATGGTAGGCCCGAAAATCTCAATGATCTTCGGTGCATTAACATATCTGTTAGTATAATCCCCCCATAAACCTACACACGAAATTTATTCTCTTTTTCTTTCTCCGTGTAGATTCTTCATCTTAATGTTCCTCATACCCAAAACCTGGCTGCTGTACCTCGCCAGTGGCGTGATCGGCGTAGGCGCCGCGATGATCTGGACCGGTCAGGGCAACTATTTGACGCTCAACTCGACGCCGGCGACGATGTCGAGGAATTCGGGCATCTTCTGGGCCATGCTACAAGCCAGGTAAATGCCGAACCGGAATGCACACACCGCACACACCGAAATGAATAATTCATGCCTCAAGGACTTTCGACGTCCTTGAAGGTGTGGTCTATATGATCCTGTCGCGAGTGAAATCAACACTATCATAGACTACTTTTTGCTTGTCATATTATACGCGCAATACTTCCTTAAAGTGCTAAGTTAAACGCGTTTGAAATGAAAACAACCGATGCGGAACCCGAGCGAATGTAAGCACGTAATCTACACTTATTATTACACTGATAAAACCATAAAATTAATAACAATACATCATATAAATTGCACTTGTTGCAAGTTTTTTATAAGTTTTATCTCAATATTATTGTAAATTTATTGTTGGATTGAACTTGAAATTACTTATTATTTATTAATCGTCGAGTTCTTATGGTTTGTTATTCGTTGGCACGGCAAGCACCGCACACAATGTCAACCGGATTTATTTTAGCCGCCGAATGCGCTTCCTTTTTAAGTTTTATTATCATACTAACTAGATAACTAGACTACGATGTCACTGGAACAACAATATGACAATATGACACTGAATGCATGCGTCGTTATCGTTTTTTAAAGGACACAGCAAAAAAGAAACAAAAATGTTTGTTATTTGATTATAAAAAAAAATTAATCATAGATTCGAATGTTGGTCATTGTACTCATAGTTGATGAATGACTCAATTTCGGCGAAACTATGTGTTACAAAACGTGATTTGCGAGTGTTACAACATCTAAAGTCTAAGTTGAAGTCTAAATTTAAAATTTGTACTTTCATTTTTATTACACATAGCTAAGTATCGGTTTTTTGTTACGATCGGATTAAAAATCATGTCAGTTAACTAAACACATAAAATCGTAAATGTGTGAAGTAGTAAAAGTTTACGAAATTTACTAATTCGCCTAATTATTAATTAGACTTTCTAAAATCGCGAATTTCTTTTTTTAATTCTTTATTTCTATTATTTTGCCTAATTTTATTTAATTATTGACAGTTTTACTAGACTATTGTTACAAATTACTTTCAAAAATTATTGATACATGCATACGGGCGCAGTCTAAGTCTGCGAAAGCACAACATGCTCTGAATTGTTTATATTTCACTATAAAATATTTCCCTTCTGCATGCATTGGTGACAAAAGAAGAATTGAAGAGTATGTGTTGCAATTATTGGACTCTTTATCAAAAAATTGCGGACTATTGTCAAAGCAGCTTAAATAAGTACTATTATTTTGAATCAGATAGGTGTCGCTGGTCCCACGGAAAATTTCATGCTACACATAAAAACTTTCTTTGGTGTGGATAATTTGAAAACTGTACAAAACTCTTAGTGTTTTGTATGATGCGATGTTTGAGAATATCAACGAGTTTCGCGACGCTCCCGAAGATATTACAAACGTTATCAAATTCAAAGATATTCCTACTTATCTAGGAACAATGGACGTTTATAAAATATTAACCCGCAGGATGGCGAACATTGTGATTTTCTTAATACAAATGTTACAGTAAGTTGCTCAACTTACTTCTATTTATATTCTACATTAATTTAATTTATAGAACTGATTATAAGCTTAAAAAGACAATTAAGCCCGAGATTCTGCTTGTAATTCAACGCGGTTTGGACATTCACGTCCACGGCGATGAAAACAACCAAATCGAGTATTATTCCATAAAAACATTCAACAACACCAAATTTAGTTGCTATTTTTATTGAAAGCACTCATTCAAAGCCTGCAAACCAACTTTATGAACCATTCAACAATTAAAATGCTGTTTAGATACTTCTTAGAGTCATCAGATAGGTGGCGCTAATGTTAACGGTACCATTACAAATTACAACTATCAAAATAAATGAAACAAAGTTAAAAATATCAAATTTTTAAACAAATTCTTACTTTTCTAGTAATATGAATCAATAACTATGAAAATATTTTCATTTTTCTTATATTTTTTTTCTTTTCTTTCAGTATGTTTATCGGTAATCTCTACGTCTACTTCCAACTCGAAGGCAAAAACCGAAATCGACAAAGACACGCGAACCGTAGTAATCTGGGTACTTTCCGGTATCGCCATGGTCGGCATCGGAATCCTCGTCATTCTCCCGCGCGCCCGCCGCGAGGACGAAGACAGCACCGAAGAACTCAACGTGAAACCCGACGGTCCAGTTCAAGCCCTCGTCGGCGCAGGCAAATTATTCGCATTACTAAACATTGATTCTGTATTTCTAGCATCACTTTCTTCTGGCTAATTGGTACGTCGTTGATTAATATATAAACACACAGCGATTAATTGTGCGCGCGCGAGTAGTACTGACCTGATGGCATTCTTGCACGATGATTTGGGTGAAGGTCGCCGCTCAATTCACATTCAGAGAGTTTAATCAATCCAGCGTCAAGCGTCAAATCAAAGTGTTATTGCCACTTGCACCAAGCCACAAGTCAAAACACGCGTTGTTATTAGATTATATATGTATAGATATAAGATAGCAAGGTTGGGCGGGTTAGTTGAGTGCACTGAAAATATGCCAAATGCGAATTTTTTTGCGTCTTTAACATTGAGCTTGGAGGCTACATTTAGAATTCTTTTTGTTGCAGGTACTGAATTGTCCTTCTACAGTGGTGTGTGTATAGTCCTAAAGTACTGGTTTTACGAAACAATTTGATCCATTTCAATGCTGATTAATTGGTTTGTCGGGGATGTTTTTGGCTGATTAGAGAAGTTATTGGGTAATTGTGTCAATTTTTCTAAGTAAATTGTTTTTAAAATAAATTATTTTACAGGAGGAGCACTTTTTGGTATTTTGGGTGCTAAGACAACGCGATGGGGGAGAGATCCTATCGTGATGGCAGGATTTTTGATTCATTGTGTTGCATACTTTTTGATCTTCCTGAATCTTCCTGATAAAGCGCCTTTGGCTGAAACTATGGATAAAGGTTTTATTGAACCAAATGCGCCGTTGGCGATTTTCTGTTCTTTCCTGCTTGGTTTTGGTGATGCGTGCTACAACACACAAATCTACAGTATTCTTGGAGGTGTCTTCCGGGATAACAGCGCGTCGGCGTTCGCCATCTTCAAATTCACCCAGGTATTTATCAAAAAATTGATATTTTTATGTCGAGAAACAAAAAATAACCAAATATTGAAATTTTACGTGGATTGACATCTTTGATAAAATTTTCTAGCTCATAAAAATGCTTGAAATGAAAATATTTTTCGTCGTTACACAGAAAATGTCTAAAATTTCGTAGTTATACAGAATTTTATATCAAACTGAAATTTTTGATTGATTTTTTAGTTTGTAAATAAATCATCAAGTGTACTGTTGACCCAGATTGATTAAAGATGTACTAATACATTTTTTGATAAAAAAAATTGAAGGTCTCTACTATAGACGAATTTAGAAATGAAAGCCAAGTTTAAGTTACATGTTCACTTTCACCAAAATCATCAAAACACATTGATTACTTTGCGAATGCAAAAATAAACAGTTTTTGGTTGGAAATAATTTAGAAAGTATTTTTTAATTGAACGTAGCATCGATGTCGCAATGTTTAAACACGTTCAATATTACTTAACGTAATCCTTAATCAATCTGTGGACAACTTTAGTCAACTTTACACAAAGTCTTGTTTGCTAACAAACACATTTTTATCAATCATCAATTAATTTTCGTTGGGGCAATGGCCCCGAGACGACAATTTTCGATAAATTATCGTCAAGTCAATGACCTTCAAATTATTATCACGGAGTAATACTACTAATAATAATTATATTAATAATAATAAACAAGTTTTTGATAGTCGTGTTAATTTTAATTTTTTTTTTTCAGTCTGTGGCGGCTGCCGCTTGTTTCTTCTACGCTTCCGCCGTGGGGTTGTACGTACAACTAGGCCTTCTTCTCGGCCTGGCTGTGATCGGCACCGTATCCTTCGTCCTAGTCGAATGGGAGGTAAAACGCGAGAATCGCGAGAAAACCGACTCCGCTTCCGTGAGCGGCTCGAGTTCAGCCAGCGACTCGTAGAACCACCACGAAACCAACTCTTTTAGTTAAAAACTAAAAGAGTTGCGATCGCTAATCATCAGGTTATTAATAAATTTTATTGCTACGTAATTAATATTTAATGCGTTGAATGCGAGTGAACAAACACAAATGTTTAGGCTGTCTTAAGATAAGTAGATAATCGAAGAAGTTGTCTTCCACCTACGTAACGACTGCACCATACAACAAAGTCATTCCACAGTTTTATTTATTTTAAATATGTATGTATTTACTTAATTCCGTGTCGAGGCAAATCACAGAGACACTAGATTTTTATGAGGCGTGTGAAGTAATTTATATCATTGTGACGATTGCGTTCGCGGCGATTCTATTGTCTTCGGACCTGAGTGAAAAGTTCAAACTCCAGACTGATCTGTGATTCTAGCGTAAAAATATCACACTATTAGATTGTAACTGTAACTAGTTTAGCACCTAAGAATTGTCAGAGTTTATCAGAACCACATTTTGAAAGTTATATTAACGTGCTATATGCACAAATGTGCCCGTCAATAAATAAAATATACAATATTAAATAAATTTATAAATTACTCTAATAAATCATTTCCTTACCTCATATTATTTAATTCAGTCAACAATAATATATGATTTCTCGGAATATCGTATTATTTACACTCAAAATTGCATCGCATCGCCATCTATATGTGTGCTAACTATTTATAATACAGATGCAGTTTCACAGCATGCTCTAGAGGTGAAACAAATCAAAACAAACTTCGAATCTTCTTCTAATCTAATCTAGTACAGACAAATAAAATAATATTGAAATTTTCAATAAAACCGAATAATTTACTCCAAAAGTGCATCGTAGCGCCATCTATGTTTCCACCGCACAATTAACACGTGTATATCTAAACAAAAAATCCAAATTATTTAAAATAAACCTAGTGTGCGTGTCAAAGCCAACTATAATTGTTACTCCTTTGAATTTACATCATCCTACCTCTATAATTACAATAAAACAAAGTAAGTTATTAACTTTCTTATCTTTAAGATACAAAAACTTTAAATTTACCACATGTTTTCCAGAGTTATAACCTTAAAGCCACAACACAAACACTTATCAACATGACTGAAGTTAAAGAAGAGCTCAACATGCTGCAGTTTGTAACACAATATGATATTAAACAATCTACGTCTCTACTGGAATCAATCCGATTCCTCATGAGTGAAGGAAAATCGTCAAAAGCAGTAATTACATTCATCAACAAGCAAGTATCCAAAGGCATTTCTAAGGAGCAAGCATTTGAAATGCTGATTAAACTCATTCCTGATTGTAATCAAACTGTTCTTGATGAGAATGCTAAAACTTGGGTTACTTATGCAGTGAGTAAACATAAAGAGGAAATGATTGCGGCGTGCAGATACCAGATTTTAGGTAATTTACAAGTTTTCCTAACAATTTCTGCTTAGTTGGTTGCCTATGTTAAAGATAATTTTATATTATTTCTGAAACTTTTAAATTTCAGTTGAATTATATCACCGTTGCCATAGAAATCAAGAGTTTTACAAGTCTATTGTTACAAATTTACTTTCCAAAATTGTTGATACATGCATCTGGGCGCATCCTAAGTCTGCAGAAGCCCAACATGCTTTGAATTGTTTATATTTCACTATGAAAAGTATTTTCCTTCTGCATGCATTGGTGACAAAAGAAGAATTGAAGAGTATGTGTTTGCGATTTTGGACTCTCCATCGAAAGGTGTGACTGGTAATCGAAGCAGCTAAATGTTACCATATTTTGAATCAGATAGGTGGCGCTGGTCCTAATGGCACCATACACATTAAAAACTTTCAGGATAATTTTGAGAAATTGTACAAAACTCTCAGTGTTTTGTATGATGCGATGTTTGAGAATATCAACGAGTTTCGCGACGCTCCCGAAATATTACAAAACGTTATCAAATTCAAAGATATTCCTACTTATCTAGGAACAATGGACGTTTATAAAATATTAACTCGCAGGATGGCAAACATTGTGATTTTCTTAATACAAATGTTACAGTAAGTTGCCTAACTTACTTTTATTTATATTCTACAATAATTTCATTTATAGAACTGATTATAAGCTTAAAAAGACAATTAAGCCCGAGATTCTGCTTGTAATTCAACGCGGTTTGGACATTTACGTCCACGGCGATGAAAACGACCCAAATCGAGTGCTATTTCATCAAAACATTCAACAACACCAAATTGATTTGCTGTTTTTATTGAAAGCACTCATTCAAAGCCTGCAAAGCAACTTTATGAGACACTCAACAATTAAAATGCTCTTTAGATACCTCGCTAGAGTCACCGACTGCACTTGTTACAATGTGAACAGGTAATATTTTCAGTTCTACCAATTTATCTTTGTTGTTATTAGAATATTTTATTTAGTTTTTACAAGAGTACCATTTACGACGTCATCAAATATTGGCTGCAATGTTCCGGCGAGCAAATCGATGCCAAAACCCTCCAGAAGCTCATCGAAATCATCATAAAAGATATCACTCCCAGTAAAGCAACACTAGTGCTGCAGGTATCATAAAACAGCGTCGTCAAACGAAATGATGCGATATTATATTTAACTCAAATGTGGTTGCAGATAAACGTGAATAGCCGGCGGCCGTCGAGGCACGAATAATAAAGCGTCTACAGCTAGCTGCTTTGGCTACTGCGGCAAACGGAGAAGACGCACCGGTTCGGCGGACTCAGAGTCGCCAATTTGTCAGTCTGCCCTGGGACTACTAGAGACACTCTTTAAATCTGTGCATTTAAACATTAAGAAAACAATTTGTACTGTAAGCATGACTTTTATAACTTTAAAGTTATGTTATAAATGTGTAAAAATTTATTTTTACAGCAATTATTCCACATTATAACAAGTACTCTACTGGATATCTCTGCGAATTATATTTGTTTACCATACACTGAACAAAAATCCGGTCTTGGACTTTATAAAGTGCTCGTTGCCATTTTTGATCAGTCCACGTACACGATCGATATTGACTTGGCAGTGAATATTCTTGCCTTGGCACAGGCCGGTGATGATTTTGAAATTACAAGCGTCTGCCAGCAAGGATTGAAAGCAATTGAAAAAATTGTGCATCCTATTCATGCCCCCATCGGACAATCACAAACAATTACAGAAAATAATGAAGAACAGCAAGAAAAACAACCAGAATCCGGCGCGATTAAAGTTTTAAGCAACTTTTTGATCCAATGCAATCAAAATGATGATGATGAATCATTAAAAGAAAGCGATAACATCACGAATGATTCAAAAAGTGACAAATTAGATGAGACAGCTGAAAGTGTCAAAAGTTTACCTGTCGTGGAAATATCCGACAATGAAGCTAAAATAATGCGATGGGCGTTTAAGTGGCTGGTGGTTGTGGCGTCGCCCCGAACAAGGTTGTAAATTAGGGATTTCGGGGGTTTTACGGCTGTAAATACGAGTTACGACTTATTTGTGCCGGGGAGATAAGGTGACTCGCGAGCATCCCCGCCCGCTGGAGCGTTTATGTTACACATAACTACTTATAACCCACACACACACACAGAAGAAGAAAAACGAGCGTGTGGCTGAAATTATGAGAAACACGAGAAACTTAACGATTTTATAACAAGTTGTGGACAGGAGACAGACAAGAGGGTCACCGTCACCAGATAAAGATAACTTAAATTTCAAGCCACAAGACACAAAGCAGATTATAAATATAAATATAAATAGAAGAATGGGGAACAAGCACATAAGTGGCACTTGTAAATAACTCAAACAACCCTAAATATTTGGACATTTTCCAAGTATTAGGTCATGTTTTCTTGATTGAACAAGATATAAATTAACTTCTCATCGTCGTGTGTTGTGTTGTAGTGAATTCTCTTCGCTGCAACATGTTTTATGGCAACGTTTTATGCGAAACACACGAGTACCGTTTTCATGCGAAGTGAATTTTATTCATTTCGCTGAAGTACTTCATCTAAAGACTGTCGGCATGTCACCACCACAACCGCTATGCTATCAAATCTCTGAGTATTTTACTTAGGTACTCTAACGTATGTCGATAATGTTTTGGGTGTGAAATTACACCGCAGTATGTGCACAGGTGTGACCGTAACACCATGCCGAATGACCAAGGTTGGCTGTGTGTTCATATCCTCTACTAGTGCAATGCACAAGGTCAGCGCAATTTTCACACACGCTTTTATTTTCAATATCGAAATCGAAATCGAAAAATTGCGCGCATGGTAAAAGCAACAAATACGCAAGAATGTGAAATGATTGGACATGGTGCGCCGTGTGGTTGATGGCGATGCTGATGAGTTGAATTCGCTGCGAGCGACGAGCGGCGCACAACGAAGCGAAACGATAAGCGGATACGGGAGAAGAGATAATCATCGGTATTGGTTACATTTGACTGCGGGGGCTTTTGTCCGTGGCTGTCCGAAGTGTGTGCGTCGAGCACAAAAGCTTGAGCTTCGGCTAATTCGCCATAATTGAGTTAATCATCAATTACCGAGTCATCGTGAGTGACTGAGCAAGAAATCAAATTCCTTGACTTTCTACTGTTCTTGCTACTTTATAATCAGCAAAAATTCAGGGTATGCAACTTGTCATACACGAATTATACGCGTAAAATACGTTTAAAACTTACAGGTTATAATAGATGAATAGAGAATTATGATTTTTAAATCTATAAATATTTTTGTAATCAGAACAGAGCGGATATTGAAAAATATATCAAATTGAAGATAATGTAATTGCTTATAAGTTTATAACACTTACAGTAATGACTTTGGTGATTTTCTAAGCGAAAACTTAATTTTAAGCAGGATGTGATACTGCAGCGATGCTAGGTTGACGAACTGTACGTATAGGCAATCAGACACACATCAAAGTATTAAAATTGCGTATTAACTGAGCAAGAAATCACATTCCTCGACTATGCAACTTGTCATACACGAATTATACGCGTAGAATACGTTTAAAACTTGCAGGTTATACTAGGTGAATAGAATTGTGATTTTTAAATCTTAAGATTATTTTATAATCAAACTAACGCGGGTTTTGAAAAATATATCAAATTAAAGATAATTTAATTGTCTATAAGCTTATAATACTTACGATAAAAACTTTAGTGATTTTCTAAGCGAAAACTTAATTTTACGCAGGATATGCAGCAGCAGCGATTTTAGGTTGATGAACTATACGTATAGGCAACCAAGTAAACATCAAAGTAATAAAACTGCATATACAAAGTGTTGTTGAGTTTAGAAAAGTTTAACATGTAAAATGATATAAAACTCTACTCAGAAAGCTTCCCGAGCTTTGAAACCTCGACTATTAGCAGAATAAAAAACGAATCTCCCGAAGAAGAAATTTTGCGTGCGAGAATGTACTGCGTGCGCTCTAGCACAGTCCAATTGCCTTCAGAGGAAGGAGGGCGGTGCTGCTGTTGCATGCCCTCGCTTTCCGCGCTTTCCGAGCTTTCTGCTCCTTCCTCTCTTCTCTCCACCGGTGGCTGGCCGCGGCGGCCGGCGCGCGCTCCGACCAGACTGCGGCGAGCCAGTCTGATCGAGCCCGTCGCGTCGTCAGTACACGCCGCGCCCCGTTCAAGATCGCAGCCTCCGATATCCGCGCGCGAGTTCAAATCTTCGCCAACTTCCTACCATGGCCTAAACACCCAGTGTAGACAACACACCAAAACCAAACAAAAAAAAAAGTTCAAATTCAGTGACAATTCTTCCATTGACCTCTCGGAACAAGGAAGGACCATGACCATGTGTATAGTGCGCCCGAAAATGTTCCTCACCCTCTTACTCCTCGCCGCCGCCTGCGGGCCCACACTCGCCGGCCCCGACAACAGCAACTTCATGAAGATGTTCCCCTCGCAAGCCCAACTAGACCCTTGCTACGACGAAGACAATCGCCCGCGTCGCTGTGTCTCCAACTTCGTCAACGCCGCATTCGGAGTCCCCGTGAAAGCTTCCTCAACTTGTGGGCAACTTGGTTTAACCCACTATTGCGAACCCCCGGAACCCGGATCTCGTCCCCAATGCAACATCTGCGATGACCGCCAACCAAAGTACCGCTTCCCTGCTTCTCATCTAACAGATCTCAACAATCCCAACAATGTCACCTGCTGGAGATCAGACCCTCTCCCCCCAGCGACCTCAATGAATGCTCCACCTGATAACGTCACTCTGGTCCTAAGCTTCGGCAAGAAATACGAAGTCACCTATGTTAATCTGGTCTTCTGCCCGCATACACCTAAACCCGATTCTATTGCTATCTACAAGAGTATGGACTATGGGAAGACCTGGCAACCCTTCCAGTTCTACTCCAGTCAATGCCGGAAAGTCTACGGGAGACCCAATCGCGCCACGATTACTCAATCCAACCAACAGGAAGCTAGATGTACGGATGCCCATCGGTACAATGGTGGTGATGGGATGTCCCATGGACAATCCCGGATAGCTTTCAGTACATTAGATGAACGCCCAAATGCTTCCGATATAGAAAAATCCCCGGTTTTGCAGGATTGGATCACCGCGACGGATATCAAAGTGATTTTTAACCGTCTACACATGCCCACGGATGACCTATCTGATAACCTGGATATTCTGGTTGATGAAAACCTTTATAATAAGCATCTAGGTGGTTTGGATAGAGATGATGACCATACTAATGAACCTGCACCTTCAGTGCAACTTGTGAATGAGATGCAGAGTCTGGATATGGATGTGGAGAGTAAGCCTACTGCCATGGAGGCGGTGAGGAGGTTGCCACCAGCGTACCAGGTGACGCATCAGTATGCCGTGGCGGATTTCTCCGTCGGCGGGAGGTGCAAGTGTAATGGGCATGCGAGCAAATGTTCACGGGGAAGAGATGGGCAGCTGGCGTGCGAATGTCGGCATAATACTGCGGGCAGGGACTGCGAAAGGTGCAAACCGTTCCATTTTGATCGACCATGGGGGCGAGCAACTGACAGGGATGCTAATGAATGCAAAGGTAAGGATTGTTTTATACTTTGTTTACACTAACGCCATCTAGATGCGAATTATATGACTATAACTGTGATTTAATGAATATATAACTTTAGAACCTTATTAAACACCCTGTATGTTGATTTTTCGCGGTAAAATGTAGTCAATGTTATTTTCCATGGTCAAAAGTGTCTCTATACCAAAATTTGGCTAAATTGGTTGGGTGGTTTTTGTGTTAAAACGTTACAAACATACAAAAACACGCGTAGTTGCATAGTATTACATTTATTAAGGCCGCAACGCGAAAAAATTAAGTTATATTTGTTACTTTGATTAATATGACACTTATTCTCTATTTACACTATTACCGATGTGTAATTAAACGCTAAATTATAAATAAATAAATAATTTATCCATTAATATACCTTAGTTTACTCTTTGAAGTTTTTCTCAGCAAAATTTTATGTAAAAATGAACTTGACACAAACTTGACAACTTCATGCTGTACTATATAATATAGGCAACCAAACATACACAAAACTACACCTACTCCATAAGTTTTGGTTTGTTTCTTTGCTTGAAGTCCCTTAAAACTAAATTATGTACCTCCGATGATCACCGTTTTTCACTCCGCACGAAAGCGGCCCACTTGCCGCATTAAGATTCATGGTCTTAATCAGCGCTGCAAGGTGGCAATGAGCAACTTAATCGAGGCGCCTTTTCTGCGCCTCCTGCGCCGCTTTCAACGAAATGAACGCACGCGTTCGCCGATCGATGATGATTTAAGGACTTAAGCTCCCGAGAGTTGTTAGCAGTTAGCACCTCCGCTGAAAATTTAAAGCGCTAAACGTGAATTAATCGCCAATCGGCGGCGTGCGGGCTGATGTAACAACCGCCGCGGCGAGCAAACAGGTTCGAAGAAGAGCATTTCTACGGCCCGCGATGAAGAAGCTGAAGAAAAGCTGTTGGAGAACTTGGTAGTGTACTTCATCAAGGCACTACTCAAGTCGATTCATGAGAAGAACGCGAAGGGTTCGACGACGACTGTGCGTCGGCATCGTTTTAATTAAAAAATTCACTTGATTGATAGACTTTTCTTTCATCGTTTTAGCTAGGCATAGGTTAAGTTTCTTTACTACTCAAAGAAGTGAAATAAAATATTTCAAAAGAATTATTTTCTTATTTTTTAGAGTAAATTGAAGATAATTGAGTAAAAAAGATTTTTTTGAATAAAATTGTTTTTTACAGTTTTTAAAACCCTCTGTAAATCAATAACTACTGGGTTGTTTTTAACAAAATTTTGGCAGCGTAAACTTTAATATTTATACTTAATTTATACCGAATTTTATATTAATTGGACTTTTAGTTTTGTTGTTATCTGGTTTTAAAGATAAAATACAATTTTTAACGTTTTAAAATTTTTTCATTTTTAAAATCGCTATAACTTTTAAACTAATTACTCAATTCATTTGAAATTTCATACACAATAAGATAAATATTTAAACTTTCCGTGTGTAAAATTTCATATTCATAGCGGTAATACTTTTAGAGTAATCCAACAAAAACCCAGAGAAAATTGATTGAAATGTTTTTAAAATTCGAATCACGTAGCATAATAAAAATTCTAGTTTCTTACAAGTTTCGAACGCGAACACGAGTGGATACTATTAGTCTAGTGGTGATTTATTAATCCAGAAGGGTGACGGGCGTACCCAAAGACCATTAGGACTATTAATAAATTCCATTAATCCCGGGGCATTACGCGCGCGTCTGGATTAGGCGTAATTTCTTAAATGGATTTCATAATCCTTCGTTTTCGGCCAGCGCCTACATAAATTGTTTCTTCTTTGTTTCCGGCGGCGCAATTTGCAAACACTTAATTAAAACGTTTTTATTTCACCTTAAATCAAGCCCAAACAAAAATAACACAAAATAAAAAATATTAAAATTTAAATTATTGTAGTTAAACACGATACTTGTACACGTTGCGCAAAAAAAATTGTTCAAGACGGTGAAAAACGAGCGATTTGCATGCGATTGAAGTTGTTGGCTGACCGCAGGGTATAAACATGTGCGAAAAAGAAATTTATGCGCATACCTGATTAAGCATTAACGCATTTCATCCCATAATACAAGAAAAAAACTCACTTTTTGCAGTTTTTACAGTTTTACGCCACTGGAAATGAAAGTTTACGTTGTGTGCTGTTATGAATTACAATGTTTTGGTAACAAAATGTTTTGTTTACGAAATTATCGCATTTTTCGAGTAATATTGCGAAATAAGTAGTGTGTAAATCAGTAAATCACTAAATCATCAATTCGTGTTTTGTTGATATCTTGCTTCAAAGATAAAGTCAAAAATTTAGACGATTTTTGTTCTTTAATCATTAAAATCTCTATAACTTTTAAACTAATTATTCAATTAACATGAAATTTCGTACATAGTAAGCTTATTATTTAACATTTATGTGTGCCAAACTTAAAATTTATAGCAATAATACTTTTTATATAATTCGACTTTAAAATATCAACTGCTAAACTAAAAAAATTCAAGTGTTTACATTGTTTTAAACACTCTGTAAGACAATAACTATTGGGTTATTTCTAACAAAATTTTGAAAGAATGTAATTTAGTATTTCTATATTATTTATACCAAATTTTAAAAAGATTGGACTTCTACTTTTGTTGATAACTGGCTTCAAAGATAAAAATCAAAAATTTTAACATTTTTTTTTTTTAATTTTTAAAATTGCTATAACTTTTAAACTAATTATTCAATTAACATGAAATTTCATACATAATAAGTTTATTACTCATAGTACACCTATACAAAATTCAAAACCCATAGCAAAAATACTTTTGCCATAATTCACCACCAAAACATCAACTTTTAATTTTTCCCAAGAAAACACATCACAAACCCACTCAATTAAAATTATCGCATTTTTCGAGTAATATTGCGAAATAAGTAGTGTGTAAATCAGTAAATCACTAAATCATCAATTCGTGTAAACGAAGTTTGTACTCGGCGGCAATTTCGCTCGGCGAAACGTGCAAAAGTTTGTCTTTTTGTGTCGCTGCGCGAACAATAACAGCGGGTGTTATCCATCATTTTATATTTCGAAAGGAAACGACAACTAAATAGCAACAAAAATGGCTCATAAAGCATTTGTGGCGCGCGCGCCCATCGAAACCAAGATGGAAGTAGATGAGAATGAGAATTTACTACCCAACGTGACCGCTAAAGGCCATCGCGCACCACAACCGTCGCTCTATTGTAGCAAATCGAATTTTTCCCAAAGCAAACCAAAGCATTCTTCGTGCTTTTCCACACCCGTTTGCTGGTTCCAATAATAAAAAGGTCAAAAAGCGAATCACCCAATAAATTCATCCGGTAGAGGCTTCTTCTAAACTGTTCCAACCACTAAGCGTTTAATGCGGCAGCGAGAAATATTGGCTGCAAACAGGTGCGTGCTGCATTTTTATAGCGGCAGACGTGACGAAATGGCGGAGAATGAAAAAAAATCGTATAGGTGTATATATAACGAGATGTGGTGGAAATAAACGAGGTGCGTGTATGGTGTTGGAGCTCATCAACGAGTTGCGGGGATATTTTCGTATCGGAATGCGACATGCAAGTCGCGCAAAGACGAGACGAGAGGCGGTTAATCTGGGCACGTAATCGTGCTGCTAATTTAAAAACGTGCGACGATTTCGCGCCAATTGGGAATTAATAGAGCGGCTAACCAGCGGCGTTGGGAAACTTTGAAAATCAACCGGAATTTCCACGAAAAAAAATAGAAAGAAGAAATAAATCAAAATTGTTTGCAGTGTTTTAAACACTCTGTTAATCATTAACTACTGGATTGTTTTTAATAAAATTTTGGCAGTGTTAAATATATTAAATAAACATTATTTATTGAAAATTTGAAAAAGATTGAACTTTTAGTTATGTTGATATCTGGCTTCAAAGATAAAATCAAAAATTTGGTTGATTTTTGTTTTTAATCATTAAAATCGCTGTAACTTTTAAACTAATTATTCAATTAACATGAAATTCCGTATATAATAAGTTTATTATTTAAACTTTACGTGTGCCAAACTTAAAATTTATAGCAATAATACTTTTTAAATAATTCGACTTTAAAACATCAACTACTAAAATAAAAAAAAATAAAAAGTTTACATTATTTTAAACACTCTGTAAGTCGATAACTATTGGGTTATTCATCACAAAATTTTGACAGAATATAACTTAATATTTATATATTTTTTATACCAAATTTTAAAAAGATTGGACTTCTACTATTGTTGATAACTGGCTTCAAAAATAAAAATCAAAAATTTTAACATTTTTATTTTTTAATTTTTAAAATTGCTATAACTTTTAAATTAATTATTCAATTAGCATGAAATTTCATACATATTAAGTTAATTACATAAACTTCAGCTATACAAAATATATAACCCATAGCAATAATACTTTTGCCATAATTCACTATCAAAACATCAAGTCTTAATTTTTCCCAAGAAAACACGTCATACAAGAACCCAATTAAAACTCGACTGTTTACGCGTGATAATAATCCGGATGTGGCATGTTTATCACCGCCATCTTGTCCCCTGCCCTCGTAAAAATAATAATTCAATCGTTTAGTATTCATAACACGCGGCTCACGCGTTTCACACGCGTTTCGGGTGTTTTAACACCGCTGACAAACGATTACGAGCACGATGAACACACCACTCGAGGTGTTAACTCAATAACGACGCTAGATTAGAATAACAACCCTTTGTGTGAATAAAAAAACCAACATCACCATCATCACGTCCGTCCACATACCACAAACCACATGCTCTCACCGCGTTTTTTACTCAATTGCGTGCGCTAGTATCAAAAATTTCCAGTTATGTACGAGTACTCGTACTTCACAGATGTATTTCACGTGCGTGCCGCGCTTTCCACAAACAAGCACTATAGTTATATATGTGGTTATAGTTATGCGCTACCACGCCGGTTGTGT